TGCAAAAATTCGTTCTTTATAGAAAGATAAGATAATTATCCATTCGTAGTAAAAGACATCAGGAAATTCTGTCTGTTTAAAAAGACACAAAACTGATGCAAAATAGCCAACAAAAATTTTGGTTTTGAAAATACGCATCAGTCTAAACAATATAGAACTTATGTGCTCACTCCCGTACATGTCGACAAATGAATATCTTAGATTAGTTGGAATAGACACTAAGAGGCCCTCTAGAAGCAGATAACTTTATACTTACGATGGCATCGGTGTATTTTAACTGTTCGTTCATTGATGCTGTAACATTTCGTAAGAAATCCAATATATTGTTGGATGTATGGCATGGTAGCGAGTAGCAAAGACCAGCAGCTTTATTCTCTAATACGACAGGTTTAATTGGATCTATTGATGGGAAGTGCAGAAGTAATGCCATTACTCCAGATGTCTGTTCTGGTACAGGTAACTTGTTCTGAAATAAAAAAAACTGGGATAAGCTAATTGTTGTTAATTCAGTGCTTGAAAAAAAATTAAATCTTCAACAGCTCTACTTTATACTGGCATGTGCTTTAAGCATACATGTTTATGCATAATTATATCAAATAGAAATTAATCAACTCCAATCGAATTATTCTTCTTACCCTTTTTAAGTAATCCGTCATGCTCGCTGCTACTGCAGTGCTAATTACGCAAGTAAATTTCGATTTGGTTCGCTCTCTTATTTTCTTCACCATCATCAAACAATCCGATTCATCAGCCCAAACGGTAATTTTTTCGCCAGAGTAACTGGTACGGTGTAAGCCATTCACATCGTGTACCCTCAACTGACTATTTTGAATAAGTCTTCCAAATGCAAAACACACAAGATCGAGCGCAAAATGAATAGTTCTAATAATTTTTTTCTGAAATTATTAAACAGTTACATTTCTAAGAACAATAATTAATTTAAAAATCTTACCACAAGTGTTGCAAGCGACTCGATTCCCATTTTATGATGATGATGGGCAATAGGTGGCTTTATTAATTTTTTAAATAATTCTTCGGTATAATTTTGGGCTTTACTGTCACCAAAGAGCCGAATAAACAGGGCAACCAGCGAAGTACCATCGGCGATGGAGTGATGAAATCGAGCTACTATTGGATAACAAAAGGAACCATCCTAAAAATAATAAAACATGTGAATTCAATTTATAGAAGAGTTGAAATTGATATTCGAATTACACATTTTTACAAATGATTCGCTTGTATGGAAACACTTTTAAATTTAAGCCGCTGTTTATAGCTACAAAAAGCTGGCTGAAATGAGAGTGAATAAAGTTTCTAAATTGAACCAGAAATTTGTAAATATTTATGTTAAGCTTCCTTTACAACATACACAAATTATCAGATAGGAAACTGAGAGTACCAACTAAAGTTTAACCAATTATTACGTTTAATGTAAGATAGTGCAAAGTTTTATGTAAGATTTTTCGGATGGTGCCAACGAAATTCTTGTCTTTATAATGTTCAATGTTTGCAAGCTTAATTATAGGCATTATATCCGTGCCTGTTCATAAATTACATTCATGATCAGTTAAGGTCGTATAATATTATAAATGTATTAAATTACTATTAATTAGGGTATGCAACTCACCGAACTAAAATCTTCAAGCGGTTTCTCGCTGATATAGAAGTTCCACAATACAGAGTCATTGTTATCAATTTTATTTTCAATGATTTCAGCAGTAGCTTTCTTCAAGTATTCTTCACTGAATTTTTCATTCTTTGGCAGTTTTAGAGATTGTACCACAGAATCTGGCTGGCAGCCATACTTCTTCCAGTAGGAATATCCTCCAAATGAGCACTTTGTCCCTGTTAGTTTCGGATACGCGTCTGGATTACCAAATATCTGCAGAACGTTTTTAAATGTACCTACATTTTCATATTGCATTATATTTTTCTATTTAAGGCAAAACGCCCTTTGTTTGTTCAACCACATGATGAGTAATAAAAAGACATTAATACAGAGTTGTGGAATAATAGTAGATAGGTATATCGAACAAGAATTCAAACCAGAAGAAAACTGTAGCGATTGTATTTTAATTATGCTTACGCTCTTCTTTAGACTCTATATTCTAGTATTGTCTGTCTTCTTTTTTAGTCTGTTAGTTGTTGCAGATTATATTACATCGTATAATATTAATTGTTCTGCCTTTTAGCATAGATATATAGAAGCAAGTTGTTTACACTATTGTAGTGACTTGCCTTTTTATTTGCTAATATAAATTAAATTTGTAGATTTTAGTAGATTATTTTACCTGTTTCCTTATTACATTCTGCACGTTGCTTAAGAGGTCAATTTCGCGTTTACTCTTAATATATAATACGGTGGTCAGATAAATAGATGTAACGTCGTTCCAAAAGAAAACCGTATCATTCAAGTTGAATAGGCCCCCATACAATTCGCCATGTATCATCCGTAGTATGATATCAACAATTTTCCTATATACGGCGAAAAACGCCACTGCAGGGAGTAAAACGCTCCATGCCACAATATTTATGAAGAATGTCTTCAGCATGTTTACTTGTGGTGATGTCTGAAACTAAACAAATACTGTTATTGTAAAAATTGCGTTAGCACTTACATGGTACTAAAACTTATAAAATTCTTATCCGTTTTTTCCGAAGTTTCTAACACATTAATACATGTATTTTGTTATAGTTTTCAATTTTTAATATTCGATTTATTCAACTGGTACATTATTAGTCAATCGGGCAAAATGTAATTATTATTTGACATTTTTATTGGTTTATAGTGAAATGTGTTCTGAGTGACGACGAATGAGTAATTTTGTCTGAATATGAACATGTATTCATATGAGATATCCTGAATTTACGCAGACGATCAACGAAATCTGACGTAAACCGCCATTCGATTGAAATCGTTTCTGCATTATGAAAACAACAAGATACTAAATAATAATATTGATTCGGTCGTTGTAGCGAATTAATGAATGTCTGGTGAGGAGGATTATTACTTTTATCTCTAAAGCTCTTAAGATAGTAGTAACGGAAATTATAATTGCAATTAGCAACTTTTACCGGATAATTTTTCCGTCTCCAAGTTGCTGGAAACGAGATTAAAACATTGCAAGAAAAATTACCAGAAAGTTGATTGCGAGTTATAAACGCAATTTATCATATTAAAACTAAAATACATTTTCATCCAGTTGAATCAAATATTTGGAAAATTCTAGTTTCTAGTATGATACAAAGCACATCGAAAGTGTAACATTTTTTATAGCAGTTTGTGAGCACGTGTAACGTAGTAAACAAAACAAAATAATGTTTTGCTACAATAACGAATATCAAATAAAATATCAATCTCCTCAAAATTCCAAATAAATAACGAATGACGACAATACTTTCATAATGTGCTGAAACTTCTTCATATAGATACATAGAAATAAGAGAAACTGTTACATTCAACTTCTGGAAAAAAACTTACAGGAAAAACTACCACAGTACGTAAATAAAAATTAAACATTCACGTGTGTACACTAACAAAAAAAGAATTTAATTAATCTCAGTTTCACGTCAATATGTGATTATGTCTGTATTCGATCAACTTTAAATTAAAATGGAAAAACTACTCTGAACGCGTTTAAGCTAGAGTTAAATCTTCAGACTGAATTCAATCTTATGTATTCTGTATGGCCAAATATATGCAAAAGTTCAGATATTTAAAAGTACAAATAGGTCTAAACAGGTGGAATTTTTGGATATCCCAAATCTGTATTATTTTTGTGAACCATGTGAATTTAAAAAATGTTGTGAATCATTTGGCCAAATATTCGTGAATTCGAGTTCGAGCAGTCGTTAAGAAACTTTCATATGATTTTGTATTTAAACTCTAGCAAAATTAATACTGTTTTAATTTGGGAAACCTGCACATTGCAGCAAGTACATTATTAGAAGCAAAACAGCTTAGGAAATATATGTTCAAATATTTTATTTTCACAAAATTGTGCGCCTTACCTGTAGCTTATTTTTCAATTTTTATAGTTAATTTTTAGTTTTTGCAATTATTTTTAATCGAAATGAACAGCTAACTAAAATTTAAAAGCTGCATAAATGTATAAGTTTAAATTAAATCATTAAAATTAGAAAATTTCAAGTTTCCAGGGGTGGCAAAATAAATCTTGGTCTCTGGAACCTCTTGGGCACTACAGATTTTAATAAATAAAATTACAATTATTAATAAGAGACTTTAGCTTTTGTATTTAAGTCCATATAAAGTTTTAATATTTATTTATGTTATTTCTTTTTAATACAAGACTTACCATTTTGATATAACTCTTCCAACGGTTAAACACACACTAATGAAAATTGATCGTGTTCTTTCTTAAATGATTCTAATATTTATACTGTCTTATCATGTTAAATGTAGGTCCTAGCCTTCATTGGTGCTAAGTTCACGTTATTGATAGATAATACTCGAAGATATTTGCCTTAAATGGTCTTCACGGTGTAAACATCAAAATACCCATAGGAAAATACAGCAACAAACAATATTCGTGACAATAATAAATAATAAACAAAATTTTCGTTTGTCATTTTCTACTCATAAATATTTGTTACACATTTCTCTGAAAATTGTTCAATTCGTTTCTCTGCATAATGCTTTGTGCGGTCAAACAAAAAGAAAACGCATCTTGGCCGCATTTGGTGCTCTTTAGGAGATATTTTCTCATATATCTTGAGTGGTCGAATCTTCACTGTAGTAATTGTGCTTGCAATGCGATCGTTTTTGCCCTTGTGCTCGGATGCTTGATTTCCCATTACGAAAACTAATGTAGTCAAAGGTATGTTTAATTAAAATTTATTGAGAAGATTTGTCTGTAATATCAAAGATTTTACGAAATATTTGCAGTTTGCACCGAAGATATGGAAGAGTATTTTTAACATATGCCTGTTATTTTATTCAGTGATGATAAATGACTCATTTGAGGAGCGTTCGTTTTAGTATTTTATAATAATCTCTTAAAGTAATTTTCCTGTCTTTTATACTTTTTTATTTTAGTGTCTTATTCTTTCCGATCCCGTTGTGCATATACCTTATTACTCGACTATAGGTTGGCTCATTAGCTTTAAATAACTTATGTTTTTTTGTTAAATACTGTAAATTCAAATAAGTAGTTGCTTCTTCATTTCATTGATGCATAATACATGTTTGCTACCTAGTTGCGCGTTACGTGAACTGTATTTTACATCTTTTACCATACAGAATGTTCCCAAACAAAATTCGAGCAATTTTAGATTTGACGATTTAATTTTAAAATTTACTTCTAACTTCAACTTCTGAAAGCTCTTGGGTTTACTATTGCATGAAAACAGTAATATGATTAGTTTGTTGTATTATTAAATACAAATTTTGAGTATATTATTAATAGTTATGCGTATGATGTTAACTGGGGCTCCCGATTATGTTTTTTCTACTGGAGTTTTTACATTTTTCAACTGAGTGCATTATTTTCTACTTAGTTATACAGGCAATCAATTTAAGTCACATTTAATACAATTTTACAGAAAGAAAGAATGGAGAAAAATCGTGTGTTATGAAATGCTTTCATAATTGAGCGCACATTAAGCTGCATTAAACAAAGTCAAAAGTCCAGTATTTAATTGGGTGTTAATAATGTATGCTGACTTTGTAGTGATAACAGCAACACAATATTTTTTTATTATACACAGTAGGCAAATTAATACTGCATTTCATGAAGAGATTGTAAAACAGTCCATTTAAATATGTGTTAGGAAAATAAGGTACTTGTGAAACTAAATAAACGTTTTCAGAATTTAATCTGAAAATGTCATATTATAGTTCCGGAACTTACCGATAATAATAATTTACATTTTGTGATTCCTTTGCACTGTGTAATAATAATTGCTTATGAATTCATTGAAAACAATAAACGCTCAACTTTTACCACATAAATCAAATTAGCTCTGCTTGAAAACTTGCGCCACATTAAAAGACTATAAATAATTGTCGGTTCAAGACTGAAGTAATGAAACTTAACTCGTAATCGTGCTTATGGACAACAGTTCAATGCTGAAGTCCACCTTTCAGAAGTTCTTTAAAAGAACATTGATTTTTCGAAATATTTCAAGGTAGCCAATATAAGACCGAAGACGGCAGAACACATTACATGACCAGCAAATAATCAAGTTTTACTAATGGAGAAGTTAAACGATTCATAAATTGTTCAACAGTTGAAATTCTCCAATCACCGCTGATTAAATGAGGCAGCAATCACTTTGACTGTTGAACTTGAGTGCACTGTTAAGGCAGGTCGTGCTAATCATTGCCGTGTCTGGGGTGTGTTTTAAACAAGAGAAATAATCGGGATGACATTACGGTAATCAACATTACAAGACTATAAGTATATGAAAATACAGGTATTTTGTTCATACGTCGATTTTCTTACTGGATGTTAATGTTAGCTTCTGCCCAATCAAGAAAATTACAAAAATAATTACTAAATTCGCATTTTTTGTCGTGATACTTGGATTAAGAAGATACAGAATAGTTGCGTGTTCAACATGTTGAGTCAACAATATCGTTAAATCGTGTCAAAGAAAATACCTATTTCGTATGCGATTAAGAGTTCTACGAGCAAGAACTCGATACTTCCTCGTCTTTCTGTCCCGGAATTCATAAAGCATGTGTGGAGTCAATTGTAATTTTATAATATTTTGCTCATATTTTCCTTGCCTATACATTCAAGTAATACTTTGAAAAACAAGGAATAAGTAGCTTTTGCCGTTCTATCAACCTTTTCCATCAGAGAACTTTTCTTTAAAATAACCTTGGGTTTGAAGGGAATGAATAAAATATAGCAATTATAAAAAATGTATATAATCAGTTTATGATTTAAAATATTCCAAGTAGGTTGAAGAGTCAGTAGCGAGAAAAGGAAAAATACTTGCAGATATTCAGACAAAACACGTTTGAATTCAGTAAGAAGCTTGACGTAAACAGCGACTTGCGTGACCCTTCAATCGCTTCAAAAGTTTTTCCGAGTATCTGCACAAGTTTACAATAAATATAAAACAGAATTGTTGATAATTTTTGTTCTAAATAAATTATCAAAATCATTGAATCTGTTGAAAATCATTAGCAGTTAGTTTGATAAATATACCAATTAACCAGCTAATCACTTAAATACTCAATTAACGCCGATAATAAAGAAAATTTGTAGTAATAGTATTTGCTTACTAAATCTATTGCCTTGTACAGGAGGCTAATTTTACAATAAAAACAATTAGCTGCGCTTTTATACGCAATAATTCAGTAACAATATTAAACGTAATTAAAAAAATGTATATATTTTTTAAATAATTGGTTCAAATAATAATTAAATAAACAATTTTCAATTTTAATCAAATAACAAAATCAATTGTCTTCCATTGTATTCTCACAAAAGGAGTTATGATTTCCTCCACTTCAATCGGTATGGTTTTGTGAACGTGGAGAAGTGCCAGTCCAGTTAAGCGCTCTTCGTCTATTAAAATTAAAAAAATTCGGCAAAAAGCTGATCTGAGAACTCTTGCAAAAATAAAGGGACTGATTCTGGGATCTTTAGGTTAAGTTATTGTGCCTATGACGAAGTTTGCTACATATTATGCACATCATCATCAAGGCTAAACTTTAGAAAAACCACGCACGCAAATTCGCAATTAAAACAAGCCCTACTTCAGTCGCTTATTGGTTAATTTTAGCAAAGCGTGAGTTTAACTCAAAGATGTTTTTAGGGGTAGCAATAGGTGTTTAAATTCATACATGAGTAACGTTTTTCCATTTGATCGAGTTTTTATCGGGGCGTATGAAGTAATGAGCATGTGAAATAAAAGATCTTTAAATGTGCTACAGTGAATAGGTATTTTCCAGGGATAAACTTTGGATTAGACATTGCATTGTATTGCAAAATCCCTTTAAAAATCTGGAAATGCTTCAAAAAAAATATTCGCTACATTCTACCAATTTCTTTGTATTTAAGTATAATAAATTCTGCGTGTTTTCAACCCATTGCAACGCACGTGGAAGCTCAACAACCTTTTTGGTGCATATTATTTACTTTATGAGCACTCACTTTAAAAACTCACATATTTTTCGCCAGTTCACGATTTCTCCTTCTCAGAGACATTAGTTTAAGCTTTGCATACGCAGTCAATTATCACATAGGCACAAATGCAACATATTTACATGCCCCGACATATAAGAAGTGTTTGCCTGCATATGTAAGTATAGGTAAGTACTAATCAAGGAAATATGTAGTGTGATTTTGGTTTCTGCAATTGATTAATTATTAAAACGCATCGTGAACTATTACAAAATAAGAAACTACAAAGAAAAAAGGGGTTCACGACGTTAAAGCAAATTGTTTAACTGAGCTCTTTTTTTGTTTTTGAAGTTACTTTTTGGGAGGTTTATTGCAATATTTTACATCGAAACTCGCGAGGAAGAGTATTGAAAGTCCCTATCACTCCTCTACGAACATTCATTGTCCTTAACATGTACAACAGACTCCCGGATATGCAGGTACCTATATTAAGATGGAAGAGATTCAGTTCCACTCTATGCAAACAATCTACAACAATTAAAAGTATTGGAATAACCCATAAGTATACAGGGATCTAAATAAATAAAACAATTATTGTGCATTCGATGAATCCTTGGCAATCATTGCCCGAAAATCAACCGAGATAAATCGCGAATTTTCGCATGGACAAGAAACATAATAAAGCAAGGAAGGTTATAGAAAGCAGCAAAGAACGAAAAATAGATAGTACTCAATGCCAAAGCGAATTAAACTAGATCAAGGTTAATGCGAAAATAATATGATGTTTATAATTCAGTTTATTAATATTGTACCTCTGGCTGGTAGCTTTGTTTCGCGGACCATTGATGAACTGAGATATTTTTTTTACATTAAATGACAGAAACACCATCGCACTTTCGTCACAACCTCAGATAAAGCTGTTTTTCACGGCACAATCACCTTCTGAAGCATCTCTAAAAATGACGAGAAATTAAGAGCATGTTACATTATACGTAGACGTCAACTTTAGGACCATGATGGAAAATTACTTATGGTTATAGCGAGTGAGAACTAGCTCTCAACACGAGTTTTAGCATGAAAACTAATTCTACATTCTAATGTTGTAGAGGTTCCAATTTCCATGTTGTTCCATGTTGTAGAGGTATTGTTGTAAAGGATAACAGATAGGTATTACCTAAATAACTAAAATTGGCTGATGGCCCTGAGAAAGTTGCAAATTTATTTTCTATGCACAGAAAAGTTAACGTTTTAAAACGGCCCTAAAAAACATTAATCCCAATTTGAAACTATATTTGGAGCAAAGGCGGAGTCCTGCTGCTTAACAGCGAATGAGCTGTCGCCAATTCACAGTTTAAATTATGTTTACAAACAGGCCCGGCTGCTGACTGGCTCGTCGCATTCCACCAATAGGCCGCGAGTCACAGAGTTCAGGCAGTAGGTTACAGAAACCCACAAATTATCTGGGAAAATGTTAATAGAAAATATACATAACAAATGTAGAATAATGATCCAAAAGAAAAAGTTGTGACATTCCCCGGAATAACTAAAGGGCCTTTTTAGAAAGTGTACAATCGATAAGAAAATGTAGGCAGGTTTCAAGATGTTTTAGATTTGCGTGTTTTTTTTTTTGAGTTGCAAAATCGACTCAAACATGACGCTGGCTTTTTCGAAGTTTCTGAAGCCTCATTTGAGCCACATATTTCGTTTTGGCACCATTGGATGGAGAATTGAATATCATACATATAATATACAGGGTTATTCACGCTATACGGCACGGAAGTTTGCGGCTAAACCGTTTGATTTTTAAAAAGTATTATTTTATGAATTGTCCGACGCCTACATGTACAGGGTGTCGCAAAAGCTCTAAAGGTATCAAAGTTGCGTTTTTTTAAATGGAATGTCCTGTATATTATTGCATTTTTGGATTCGCTGAGCAAAGTAAGTGTCTGTTTTAATAAGGTTTATAACACTTCTTAAGGTTTTTTAAATAATACGAATTTAATCAAAATCTAATCTAATTTTCATGTGTCAAATACTTTAGAAGTATTTAAGTTATGTTAGCGTAATTTATAGTGAAGTGTAACAAGAT